CCTGGGCATTTAGGACCAGTTGGAGCCTTGTTTTTCCAACCAGATAGGGTTGGAAAACTGAGGGGTTTTCCAACAGATGGGGTTGGCAAGAATTTGCCTGCTGTGTTTCTGTCAGTATTTTGGTCTGATTCATATTCAGTGAACTACATTTGACCTCCATGATCTGCACTGTGACTGCAGCTGAGGGAAGATGGTAATAGTTGTGCTTATTTAGATCTATGAGGCAACTTGTCCCAGCATCTATTAGCAAGGGAAGCATCTCTGAAATAGATAATAGTGCATGAAAGCTCTGAGGGGAAGCTACTACACCCTGGAGTTCCTAAGCTCTGAAAGCTAGAATAGGACATCTGGATTCTGCTCTAACTGGTATTATTATTACTTAAGGTTACAGCATTTCTTTTGGTTTTATTTTTATTTATTCTTTATGATTTTATTTGAGAATAGATGAAATTTTAATGAAGAACAATGCAGTACTGGCTGAGAACTAGCAGCACCAACTTTGAGCTTGTTTGCAGAAAGACAAATCAAAGCAATGTGTGCCATTAATATCTGTTTCTATGTCCATAAAAACAGACTTAATAACTATTCTAATTCATTAAATAAGACAGCAAAAGAGACTAAAGTATATTTTAACTCATAAAGAGAAACTAGCTTAAAATGTACATGAAACTCAGAAAAAGAATGTTAATCTAAGTAATTTAAAAAATCTTGATGGTCATAACATCTGTTTAGTTTGTCACTGGTTAAAATGTTTCTGTGTTGGAGTAGAATATGCTTTTCTCATATTAACACACTTGGGCTAACGTAAATCCTTATGAGAACAGGGATAAGCGTGCCTTTTTGGGGGTTGGACAGGTATTTGCAAATTGCAATAGGCAATAAAATAAATAGGATTTTTTTCTTACAGTTGCTCCTTTGGAATAATAACAATGTTTAATTAAATAACACTTTTCATAAAAGAAGCTTCAAAGACTTTCACAGAATTTAAATGAATTAAGCTTTATAGCCTTACTGTCAGAAAAGGCAGGATTATTTCCATTTTACTACTGAAAAAATTGAGCTTGCAGGAAGTTTAGCAACACATCCAAAAGTAGCCTAGGATTTGTAATACCTAGTGTCTGTCTTTTCTGGTCATGTTGTAAGGATTTGCAAACTATAATATCCCCCCTTTTGTAAGCATGGATGCTGGAGAGGGACTCCTCATCAGGGACTGCAGCGAAGTCAAGAGGTAATGGGTTCAAATTTAAACAGGGGAAGTTCAGGTTAGATATAAGGAGGAAGTTCTTTACTGTGAGGGTGGTGAGGCACTGAAACAGGTCACCCAAAGAAGTGGTGAATGCTCCATCCCTGGCAGTGTTCAAGGCCAGGTTGAACAGAGCCTTGGACAACATAGTCTAGTGTGAGGCATCCCTGCCCAGGGAGTTTGGAACTTGATGATCTTAAGGTGCTTTCCAACCTGAACTGTTTTATGATTCTATGATTCTATATTATAGTTACTCCTAAACTTGTTTTCTTGATAATTAAACTGCTAGATAGACAGACAACCTTTTGTGGTATATCTCTACTATATTTAAAATGTTAAACCAGGATCCCTGCCCTTCAAAAGTATTTGTCCTTTTTCAGTCTAACCATTCTCATTGTGCTGAGAGGAAAATCACGTAAGTAGGCAAGTTCTCACTTGACAGTGGTATTCTGAAGGAAGTGTTATAGTAGAACTAGTGTCTGTGTTTCAGTGGCTAAGGGGTTAACTGCCACTTTGTATTCTTGTGGCTTAATGAGCAAAAGCTGCATTAGTGATAATGTCTATGTTATGTCAGACTGGCTTTTGAAGCGTTTTGCTTGATAAAGGAATAAAAATTTAAGAGAAAATGGTTTGGACTTTTGAGGGAGTATGGTGTAGTGGTGATGCACTGGTGTAGGATGAGGGTTACGGTTGTGAGAGAGATGGAGCCTACAGCTGTGACTGGAGTGGGGATGGGAAGGGACTACAAAAGGAATTCTGTCCTCTTGTTCATTTGGGCCATTGCCTGGCATCTTGGGCTAAGGCTCAGATGATGTGTATGAGTAAGAGACAGAGCCTAGAGCTACAGTTGAAGAGGAGATGTTAGCATCTCAGATATTTTACCCATTTAGTATAGCGTCTTTGGATATCAGGGCTTCATATATGCCCATCTCTTGCAAAATAGACCATTTTGGGTACACCTTAATTTGCTCAGGATACCTACATCAGTCATGTTCCCTCAGTGTACTGAATGTTCTGCATTTAAAATGAGCTTACCCTGGGACTCTTATTGATGCAAGTGCCTGTTTAGGCTAGTCAGAATTCTCCTGAAACTAATCAAGGATTTCTCCGTTATCTATTGTTGCCAAAATGTCCATTAATAGAGAAATCATTAGGTTAGGCAGTGTTTTTTTTTCTGGGAAGAATTTATACAAATGAAAATTGGTTATAGAAAACCAGGTATGCTTATGGGAAAATCATGTAGAATTAATGGAGAAGAAATGAGTATGTTTGTATAGGCATTGTTCCAAATGCCTTTACTATTAACTGGAAAACTAGGCCCTTTGTCTGTCTTCTTGTTGAGTATGTAACTGAACAGACATGCTTATTTAATGAGTTTTTTTTACAGAAAATGTGACTTCTATTAAATATACAGAAAATGTTTTAAGTACATAATAAAAAATTGTTTACTATGTGCCTACTATTGACACTCAAAGCATGGTAGATACTTGCTGATTCAGATCTGATTTGGATACAGAAATCTTGCACATGTGGAATGGTCTGTACTGCTGAGTGGTACTTACTGCAGGGTGTTGAAGAGAAGCAGCATATTAACTACCTGGGAAAATCTGGACTTCCATCTCATCAGCAAATCAATTAGACTAATAAAATAGAGTTTGTATGCTCCAAAACGGCTTTGTTGAAGAAATATTATTGCAAAATAGGTTCTCAGAATATGGGGAGGGGATGGGACTGAGCAAGTTCCTCCAGGGTAACATGAAGCAGAAGCACTTTTAGGAAAGCTAGAATCTCTGGGTCATTTTGTCAGGAAACCAAATACCAGTTAACCTTTGAAGTCTGGAGGCAGTTCCTGCTGTGGATTACGTATGACTGTTACAATACTGGCCTCTTCAGTGTTTACAAACTGTGTAGGTCCTATTCACTTTGTCTTGTGCAAATTGAGTGCACCCTAAAAGTAGAATGCTAAAATATGAGAAGAATAATGCTTTCTGTCTTAGTGAAGCAGGAAGTAGAGGTAGTAAAGAGTCAAAAAGACAGAAGTTTGATCTTTTCTCCTGCACGAGTTTCATCCTTGAATCTGCTCTTGTGCATTAGAATGTATATGACCATTGTGCAGTACTTTAGGAATTAAAATCCAAGTGAAAATGAAAATACCTGATGTGTTCTTTCAGAGTACCATCCATCCTTTATGAGCAATAAAACTGTAAACCCAAAAAGAGTATAAAAGGAGCTATGGTGGTCATGTGGAGCATATTCATAAGTAGGTGTGCTGGGAATGTAAAGCTTTTTTTGTGCAGACTGAGTAGATTGCCTTTAAAATTTCTGTAAAGGGAATGGCAGTGTTTTGAGTTCCGTAGGTAATCTTTTTGACCAATTGATTGGCATGTGTTTATCCATGAGATATTGCTTATAGACACCTGCAAGGTGTTAATGTTGTCATTGTCAGTTCTCATGCATTGCATTTACTTGGTGTCTTGAAGTCCTAACTCGTGAAATGATATAACTGTGAGGATCTCAGCTTTCATTTTATAATCCTAGAACTTGGAGTTGGGAAGAAGAGCACATATGGTGTGTAGAGGATTATCCCAGAAGCTTTGCTGACCTTTGAAAAAGAAAAGAATGAGGAGTGGAAGAGAAAGACAGCTAATATGGTCACTTATGACATTCTGACACATCACTGGTTTATACCTGCTCTCATAATTGGGGTTGATAGTGATTTAAATGTGTTGACTGTTGGTCGGTTATACTCAGTGTTACAGTTTTAGAATATTGTTACTGGGTTCCTGGTGTTGTCCTTTAACATCGTGTCTTGCAGCTCATGAATGGTGTTAGGGGACCCATAGCAGCATGCAGTTTAAATAACTGATCTCATTGGAAATTTTATTTCCATCGTTCAGGTTCTTGCCTCCATTCCCTCTGCCTCAGGTCCTCTCTGCCTGTGAGCAAGTCACTGAGTTCTAATGAGTCTCGCTTTCTCAGTCTACAAAAGGGAGATAATTACTACTGCTCTACTTTACATGGGGAAAGAAAAGTTAATTAATTCAAATAGAAGGAATTATTTACATTTTTATGAGTACTTAAGAAACTATTTTCTGAGGTGAGATCCATTAATTCAAGTGTTTTGAGTCGGGGTGAAGTAGTGTAGGAGGAAACAGGAACAGATGACTGACCGGTTTCTATGAGGCCTTTATATCAGGGGAGAACACAACTTGCATTTGCCTTAGGAAAGACTGGGGTATCAGTCCAGTATTTTCTCATTATAATAACAGGATAGTTGAGAAGTGGTATCCACCTATTAGAATGCTTTTGTGTTGCAGTCAAAACATTACTCTGGTTTACAGACAGCCTGCAGTTTGTTTCAAACATTTGAGTTGAGATGGTGACAACTGCAGCAGCGCAGTGCTTGAATGAGGTTGCAACATCCACCTGAAAAAGGGGAATACATTTGGGAGTGACTGGACAAGACCATGCTGTGTTGCTGGCTGGCACATTCTTATTGCTTCATTATGTAAACTTGCTCAGGGATGTCTGCAGGAGTTGTACACACACATAGGCATGCCCTGAAGTATTAAAACTAAAATTGTTGATTATTGCTTCTGTTTTACCTGCCTGTGAACTCCACCTGGATAGGATTTCTGTGCCCCAGCAAAAGTTTGGTTCGGTTTTTCGGTTTATTTGGTTTACACCCTCTTCCCTGGGGGGGGCTGTGAGAAAGATAGAAGTGTTACAGAATTAAATGTAGTTTAAAAGATTGTAAAGTTAGTATGGTTACTTGAAAAATGTCTTGTGTTTTTATATGTCACATAATTTTCTTCCTTTAAATAATATATTTCATATGAGGTGAAGATTTAAAACCAAAATAACCTAAACCTTTGAATATGTCTGTAGCATTTAAAATGACACAAATAATGCTGTTTTTTTACTTATACTTGTGGAAGTCAGCAGATTGTCCCTATCATTAAACATATTGCAAGCTACTAGTGCTAGATAGAGCTGCTTTACCGCAAGGTATCTTACTTATCTTATTTGAGTATAAATAGCAGTATTTGCTCTCTTTGCAAAGCTATCAAAGATACTAACAATTTAACTGAGATAGCAAGCAGTATTACAGCAGGATGTAAAGGCCTGGCCAAAAGTTGACTGATTTCACCATTTCAAGGAGTAATCTGGATAGCCAAGTCATTGTGATTGGGTTGGACTGGCAAAGCCCACGGTGGTGTAGTTTGTTCTAATGACAACTAATGGACTTAATGCTATTGCTGTCAGCCCAGATCTTTCCATGCACTTACTTATCCTATGTGTTCTGCAGGCTTTCTGCTTGATTTTGTTCCACATGAATTTATACTCATTCTCTAGACTTCCTGCTGTGTCAGTACTCCCTACCTATGCTAAGGTCAATTTAAATTAACACTGTTAGTATTCAAAATACTCTGGGTTATTTGTATTATTAGAATTTAGTGAAATTTGAATAAATATCTGCTCCTATGTCTGTGTCTGAATTTGTTTATATTTCATTTGACCAATGAATGGTGGGTGAGATAAACCTCTGCCTAACTTCAGGTGCAGATGAGTTAGGTTTTGGGACACATATGTTAAAATGGGATTTATTTTCTCTAGATATGCCCATCTCTGTTCAGCTGATAGTAGGAGGAGCCTAGATACAGACTTTATGCTTCAAGTCAAAAGTTGAGATGGATAGAATTAGGTGAGATAAAGCCTGCCCTAAATATTATTTCCCTGGAGCTTTATTGGCAGTCTAGCAGATGGCTTGAAGGTAGAGAAGCTCTTACTTAATCCGTTGTTTGTGTCTGAGGAATTCTGTGATTCTGGAGAGTTTGGAATCATTTTAGTGTCACTGAACTTGGAAGAATAATTAACTCTTCTCATCTATCATTTTAGCATTTCTTTTTTATAAATATATATTCATGTGTTTAATTGGTTTCAGTAAGCTAATTACACAAGCACAGTGTGGCAAGGGATCAGTGTTGGTGATTATTGTTATCTTTTATTTTTGCATAAGCAGGTCAGGTTAGTGTGAGTCTCAAGTCTAATGAAGGAAAAATTTGGCTAATTTCCTTGTGTAAGTAGATTTAGTTGATTTTCAAAAACTAAATTCATTGATGAGCTTGGTCCTAGGTCCCCCAAAAATTAAGAAAATAATACAGTGAAATGTTATTTGGTGCTTTAGATAATGTGAGAGACATACATTTATCATTGCTTACAGGAGAAAAAAAAATAAATCTTTGTCAGTTGTTTATGTAACGAAGCACATTTTACTAAATTAAAGCACAGACCTTGCTTTCAAGCATGGCCTGCTTTGTGGAGGGTTTTAGAATTGGATGTTAAGCGAGGCAGCCTGGCTTTTGATTGATGGCTAAGCAGGTTCCCTTTGTTTCTGTTGGCAGGGGAAATTTGGAACTTGTTACATCTTTTGACCATGGTTCAGAGCCATCCAAGGTAGTAATTTCAGTCCTGCAATATGGCACAGAAATGAAAGGGTAGCAGAGCTTTTCATACTCTATATTGTGGTGGTACCAGATGTTCAGACATAAATTTTCTTTCTTGTTTCAGTTCAGTCCAGAGGATTGTATGAAAATGAGCTCTTTATCCATGCTATTCTTGAAGATTTTGAGGTTCAGCTGCTAGAGTTGGGTTCATGTTTTTTGCATTGATTTCAGCAAAAAATAATCCATTTTGCTTTATCTCAGATAATTTCCCCACTTTGTCTCTAAACAGCAGCTTACTGAATTTGCTGTGGTGTCAGACAGAGGTGTATGTTTTCATTTATCAGACATTGTTTCAGTTTAGTGCATTAACCACCATTTTTCTGTAAAAGATAAATACAGGGTCAGTCTGGGAATTCAGTAAGATTTTTGTCTCCCCATTCTGAGGCTGACACTGTATGTGTGTTTTTGAATGATTTCCAGTGATTGAATCCACCTAGACCTACTGCTTATTGTCACCACAAACAGCTTAAAGCACTGTAGGACAGCCCGGAGATGATGTATTGCTTGTGATTGTCCTTTCATACCATCTTGCATAATGTTTAAAAAAATGAGACCAAGGTTATCTAGCCTGTTCTGATGAAACCAGGAGACCTCTCAATACCAAAAGACTTCAGTTAATACCCTGAAACAGCTATGGGCTCTCAAAATCACAATGTCGTTGTTAAAAGTTGGGACTGTCTCATGAAATCTGGATGGGATGATGTTAATAGTAATACAGAGATTGTTTTGGTAATATGCGTATTTATTGATGAAGAATTAAAGCTGTACTAATTTTTAACTTTGAAATATCCATTTTTTTAATGGGTCTTTATTTTCAATCTTGTAATATTGTGCCAGCATAATTTTTTGGCAATGAATATGAAAATATATTGTTAATGATACTGAGTTTGGCCACAGATGCTAAATAATAATTATGATGAAGTGTTTAACTGAATCCTTGTCTAAAATTTTTTAATAAGTTTTTTTTTTAATGAAGAAAAGCCCTTGCCTGTGAGTTTCTAGGTGTGCATGGTTACTGCTGTAGAAATTGCGAGGCTCTTCTGCCGTCTATGCTGTGATGTCATGCTATATCCTGTGTGTAAGGATACATTAATAAACATAATTCAGTCAAAAATGGCATGTATCTAAGAGGCAGGGAATTCTTGTGCCTTTTATAAAGATTGGGAAAATTAAAGTTTCAGATTGAGAGTTTTGATTCTTAAAACTTCCATTCCGCAGCTACCTGCATGTATGTTGCTTTTAGACTGAAGATCCTTTACGTACCTAAAATTCTGCTTTTGGACAGGCTCTCTACTACCATAGTTTTCATGGTGCTGCATAGCTTGGCGTCTGTTAAATACATAGAAAATCTTTTATGCTCCATTACATAGATGTTCTTCAATTTGTGTTAGCTGAGATGTGAGCTCTGGTAAACATGCTGTGAGCGCAACTTGTGAGGCTTCACACGAACTTCCTATGATCCATTGTTTCAGACAGAGGATGTGGATGGGAGTTTCAACGCACATGTCCTTTCTCTGGGAAACATTCAGTAACTGTAAATTTGTAGATTGCCTGAAGCTACAGGCATTACCAGCTTTTCTTTTTAAAATTCATCTCAGTATGAAGTAATTAAGAAATTGGGAGAATGAGAGAGAAAATGTTATTGTGACTTAGTGGTTAGATTAGATATGTGAAGTAGGGGAAACCTGGGTTTTAATTTCTATGCCATTTAGAATTTCTGTGTTTTTATGAAATGAGTATTTGATATTAAGCATCTTGAAGTAGAGTTCCATTTTGTAAGGACATTGTTCCTTCTCTGAAACGAGGGATTTGTTCTTTTCTTTAAAATGAACAAAGTGTGGTCTACCTCACTCTGAGATGACTGAAGACTATGAATCCTAACTGGAAGGAGGTATCTTTTCAAATCTCGGGGTGAGTTGGCTGGTTCTTAAAAACTCTTCAGTCTTTCCTCTTGTCTGTCTGTAGTTACTGCTGCTCTAATTGCTTCACAGTGTGTGTCCTCTTTCTAAGCATCTAAATCTTCTCTTGCCCTTTTTTTTTAATTCCAGAAGTCTAATTCAGGCTGTGGATTTTGCTACATAACAAGGTGCTAGATTTCTGTAAATCTAGTTCTGAATCTTCAGATGTGTGTACTAATACGTGTGCCAAGTGCTATTTGCCTATTTTAATTTGCTTTCTTACATGCATATGCAGTTGTGGATGCCCTTAAAAGATTTCATTAGAATGAGTAGTTGATGTGAGGGCTCTCATATTTATGGCCAGGAAATACAGGACATTGTTTGGATCCTATCTGGCAGATCTTACTTGGGAGTACTCAGTAGAGGGAACATGCTAGGTATGTTCTGCACATAAGGTAACTCTTTGTTCAGATGCACAAAAGTCCCAGTGGATTTACATTGTTCAGGATTTCCAAGCATCAAGCAGCCACATTAAAGCTGCCACCTGACTGTGCTGCCCACCATCTGGAAATTCCAGGCACATGGCCAAATTTGCATGCCATTTATTTATTTATTTATTTATTTTGCCAGGACGAGATTTCTGTGTTGAAAAAAAGGGCTGTGATTGGATTAACCTGGACATATGGCAGCTTTACCTCAGATTATTGAGCTTCTCTGTGATGAAATACAAAATAAAGTGCAAGTATTAAGAGTTCCTTGTTTTAAACAGGAGCCATTTTTCCATTTCATAATTCTTGATGGAGTTTCTGTTGTCAAGATTAGATTCAGATGAAGAGAAGGTTATTAACCAGAGAAACTCATTCTGACGCCACTGCAAGTGGAACTAATTTAAGTACATGAAATGTTGATAGCTCTCAGATTTTTACATTTTATATACTATCAAGAACTCATTTTGGTTCCTCTAAATCTTGTCACATTGCCACAATTAATTACTGGTATTTTTGCCTTGCAATTGAAGTGATTACAAGTGTGTAATTTAGCTTCAGGCAGCTTTTAGCCAAAACATAATTTAATATCCAGCGATTTTTCTCCTCACCTCCATCAAGCACCAGAAAACATCCAGCTTTTCAGACTCATCTCATGAAGCCAATGGCCATGGTGTCAGCATACTGGAGCTCAAAAGGAAGTTCTGGAGTCTCAGTTCTTAGGTCATGATTTTCTGCACTTCTGGACTTGGAGAAGTCTACAAGTCTACTACAGTTTTTACCAAGAAAGTGTTGAATACAATTTACCCAGGAGTGTTTCCGTTCTAAGGTGCAATCTCTACTTAAATGGACCTTTGCTGTCTTCTTCTTTGTGTTTTGAGGTTAGAAAGACTTGAGTCAATTTGTTCTGTTGCAAACTTCAGCCATGCAGCTGTCTGAAATAGCATAGCCCAAACTTTTATCTGGAGTACGATCACTAATGAGAAGGGAAAATGCATTATCTGTCTCTCTTCAAATATCTGTCACTGCAGAAAGCATTTATAGGTTTGCTTGTGATTCAATAGGTGGTACGTTTTCCCTAGAGTCAGCACTGAACCTCCTGTATGTTGTCAGGCAGTGCTTAACTGCCTTTTCTCAATGAGGCATAAAAATGAGACTTTGCCTTTAGAAACTTAATGAGTGCTGAAATTAATGTTGTAGCTGGTACAACATCATGTCTTGCCTCCCTGGAGTGCAGCTCGAGGAGGGTAGAAGGTATCTGAGATAGTATTTTGTCCCTATGCATATATGGCAGCTATGGGGTCAAGAAATTCACAAGCTCTCTGTAACAGTCCCTCACTTCTGCGAAGTCTTCTCAAAGACTATGTGTACTGTTCATAAAGCCTACCAAGCTCTGGGATGACTTAGAGCAGGAGACTAATTTAGGTATTCCCAGAGGAATCTCTCTTTTTTCATTGATTACTGAAAGAATGTAGGGATACAAGATTTCTGGATACTGCATAGGGAAGAGAGATGACTTGTCTTATTAGTAGCTCAAATGTATGAATTAAAATATTTTGCATTCATAATTCCCAGTGAATGTAATAGAATTGTTTTGTTAATATTGGATGTTTAGCTTTTTAAGTACATCTGGCATGATAGGAAGAAAAGTAACTTTGCTACTGATGTTTTACATCTAATTACATAACTTTTTCCATTTTACTGATCAGAATGTCTGAACCTTTGGCAGGTAAACATGTTATTTATTAAAATGGTGGCAAAATATCTTTCAAAAGAAAATAGTGCATGATGTATATCATGTTGCAAATTGTAGCAATAGAAAATATAGGTAATTCGGAAGATTAAAAGCTTTCTGTAAGTGCAAAATATTAGAATAGGCTTTTTTCTTACTGTAAAACTTCACTAGATGTCAGTGTGGAAAGTATTTTTACTTAAATGCTATGTGAACCGTATGATAAGTGTTAATTTAAGACATGCAAATTTAGGATGGCAGTTATTAGAATTTGGTAGTTGGGGAGTTCTCAATACATAATTTGTAGAAATGCAGTTTCAGAACAACGAAAGCAATTTCGGTAAGTTCACACTGAATTCTGATAATTGTTTCTGTTCAAACAGACAGAAAAACATCAAAGCAGGTTTCAATGCTTACTGAAAGTTTGGAGGTTTGTATTATAAATAGAAACTAAATTTTAAAACATAATTAACAGATTTTAGTGTTAACAAAAGAGCAGACATTTTGGTTTGGCTTTACACTGTTGGTTGTTTTGAGCCAGCGGAAACGTTAAATGTATATTTTCTTGCTGTTGTTTTGTGAAATCTGGGCTTGTTTGCATGAGGATAGCAAGTATATTTTCATGTGGTTCAGGACAGGCCTTAGGCATTAACTTATACTTTTAGAAAAAAAAAATGCATAAACATTTACATATGTTTATGTTTGATTCAGGAAAGCATTCCTAATCTGTATGTGTGCTTGTGCATTCTTTTAACTGTGTTACGTGTTTATATGACATTTGACGAATCAGAGTAGCTCTGTTCCTACATGAGAAGGTTGGTTGTTGCGATTTTTGGGAGTTTGGGTTTTTGTGGTGGGTTTTGTTGTTTTATTGAAGCTTCAGTGCATTCACTGAAACTTTAAGGTTTGGCCTCCTATGAGGTAGTTAGACTTTTCACTTTAAATGTGTTCCTGATACACCAAGCAAAAGATAGTGGTTTAGATATTGTATGGTGCCTTTGGTTGTGCTCTTGTGTTAAAATGAGCTGCTGCCGGGATTAATTTACCAAGATGAGCCTAATTGAACGATCAGTGCACAGGTATTTCTGCTGAAGCACAGAACTAAGGAGTACACCCTCTCCAATCCTATTCTGTCTGCTAGTACAGGAATGAAAATATGAAAACAAGAGGAACACAGACTGCTTGCATGATGCCTTCAAATGCCAGTTTATGATTTCTGTCTGGAAGTTACTTGCTTTTAACAGAAACTTAAGTGACTTTTTCTGTTTTTCAGAGTTACCACAAAGAGGCTAATTTTGTCCAGTTAGGATGTGAGTAAGGGAGTAATAAGGAAAAGCTTAAATGGTATTTGCACCAATGTTCCAGCTTTAACTCGTATAGTAGATACATAGCCATTAAAAAGCAATATTTTAAAAATATGATAAAGAGTGTTGACTCTGCAGGAGTTGCATCTAAAATGTGTATTTTGTCTTTATTGTTTCTAGCTATTAAGTATCTTCCATTTAGAGGCAAAAGGTGGGTTTTTTTTGTTTGTATGGTTTGGGTTTTTTTTACCTAAATACTGGTCTCAAACTCACACTCTGTGTAAGTCCTTAGATGCATCTTTCCGTAGCATGTCCATTACTCCCAGCAAGTTGGTGCACATGAGACCAATTAACCCTGTAATTTAGATACAGCAAATAATTACTTAGTAAATACTCAAGAACTCTTAACAAAGTTTCTTTTGTATTTGTATAGCTTTTATTCAAAGTAAAAGCTTTTGCTTTTGCCAAAAAAGATGATGTGTTTCTGAATGCAGGAGTTCAACGTTTTGTATATTATCATACAGTAAAAGTTAGGGTTGGAAGTGACCTTAAAGATGATCCAGTTCCACCCCTCCTGCCATGGGCCAGGCATGTTGCTCAAAGCCCCATCCAAACTGCCCTTGAACACTTCCAGGGATTAGAACTGGACTTCCATCTTGCATACATTGGTTAATGCTGTACTGATAGTAACTAAATAACATGCTGGTGGGTTAACTGAAATATGTAGAAAATGCATTTGAAAATGTGGATGTCAAATATGTGTATTAACAGCAGACAAATTATAACGAATTTTCAGAGGTTTATTCTCCAAAGAGATCACATGTAAGTTAAATTATGATAAAACCAGTATTTCAGAACTTGAAGCCTTTTAGTAGATTTCATTAATTTTTCATGTATTATACCTACACATTGAGGAGAAGGAAAGGATTTTTTTAAGTACTGCTTTATGTAACATTTCCTTTTTTGCACTGATACCTTAAGGGTGTTTCGTTTATGCCCTGTACTTCACGATGTCTAAGTAGCTGTAGCAGGACAGGTGTAGCATATTAAAGAGCCTTTACAAAGGCACCTTGAGAAGTTGTATTTTAATGTTTTTGAAATAGGCAGCTTATTCCTCTTGCTGTTTTCTCTGTCGGGGTTTTGTGATGGCTGACTCAGCAAATTCAGCAACTCTTGTTCCAGCCTAAGAATCACAGTTTTTGTGACCAGCAGTCCACATTTTGACCCACAGGAAGGAATGTGCTGTTGTCTTACTTTTCACTCCTTTCTGTGATGAAAAATAAATGCATAGAATTCTCTCACCAACTTTTGTCTTTCTTCCATAGTTTAGACCTGTGGCTGACATACTCCAGCCATTTCACCTGGGAGGTCCTATACTCCTATACGTCTTTTTTTGGAAGAAAGTAGAAAGGGGATTGGGAGACATTGCACATATACTTAGCGTGCTCTTTGTACTGTTGGATTGCGGGAAAAAAAAAAGATGTGGCAAAGCCCAGGAATGCCAGCTTTGAGATGCTGTATTGGAGAGCTCTGCCATTATGATTTTGAGGGAAGAGGTGTGGTTGGGTCTATACTTGGAACTGGTTCATCTTTATGCATGCAGCAAAATTTGCTTTTCCTTGCAGGGTCCTTTCAGAAGTACCAAGGGTCTTCTTGTTGGGTTCAGACTTGTGGATTGTTGTTTTTTTTTTGTCTATTGAAATACTTTATACTGGAAGGAACAAATTTTGCACTGAATTTTACTGTGAAATTAAATTAATGCTAGCTTACTCAGAGCTGAGGTTTAAGGCTCTGATTTGTATTTTATAAATCAAATAAATCAAAATTGTGCACCTGCAAATCAAGCTGGATGCAAAAGCATACAAATCATTGATTAAATGCCAGAGTACTTTCTTCTCAGAACTGAAAGCTATAAAACTTCTGTTAGTTTTGATGACCTTATATATGAGAAATCTAGAAATGCTTAAGTGCTTGCCGAAGTATGGGATCATCATATTGGCTTTTTTTATGCGATTAGCTTAATTGCATTTTCCATGGCATTATCATGTGAAAATGAATGGTTCAGCGTTTGGGACTGTAGGTCTTTTTTTTTTTTTTGGTCCATCTGTAAGCAAATAAAAGATTTGGATTTTAGGAGATGACTGGTGCACCGTGTACTGTAACTCTGGAAACTGCTACTATTTTGTATTGCTCCTTTGGAAATGTCTGCATTGTTTTATGTCAGAGACTGGGTTGATTTGTTTGT